CACTTAAGTTGTTCGGTTTACGTGGATTGATTCTGTTCCGTTTAGCGGAGACGCTATTGTTCCTAATTTTATATATTGTTTTTTTTTATTAAAAAATAGTTTTTATTTAATATTATAATTCTTTACTGTGTTTATTAAAATATGGAATAGGCAGATATAATGGATTTAATTTTAACTGCAGTAAAGACATTTTTTTTAGCTTTCATCAAAATCCCGTGCGATATGAAAAATTTACAACAATAACGCCAACATTTTCAGTACTTACTTTAGATATATATTCTTTTTATTATTTTACATCTTTTTTATTTGACTTCGAATAGAAAGGATTAAGGAGGACGAAAATAAAAAAAAAGAATTATAACTATATGCATTAGTTTCATTGGTAAATAAATGAACAAACCTATAGAAAAGAATACTATAAGTAATGCGTTTTAATTTGCGTATTTTCTAAAGAAATATTATAAAGAAATATATTTCTTACGAGACATTTCGACTCCAATCATTCTTTGTCCTAGCGGTGAGCCGAAGTCGTTAAATTTTATTGCTTATTTTTGACACTTTGTAAATTCGACTTAAAAACATGCGAATATGGTTCAATTTCTTATGATTTGTGTTTGTCAAGAGCTTCGGTCGCAAAAAGTATTAAGATTTTGTACATCACTTTGTAAAAACAACTCTATGCATTTAAGGTTTAATTTACATTAATGCATTTTTATTTCAAGTATAAGTACCTAAATACAGTTGGCGACAGTTTTGAAGCGAACTTTTGTATGGGATTGTGTATCTAGTTCTTTATTAGTGATCGATGTTGCTAACGCATGAGTTGCTTTGCGTTGACGCAGAATTAACATGTTCCCGTGGGAATTTTGAGAAAAAACGTATCCTATATTAATTACTCCCGTGATTGAAATGAATCTAATGATACCGCATACATATTTTTTTAAAGGGAAATTTAGAAAAAATATTATTATGTCTTTATCCCGTGGGACTTTTAGGATAAAATGTATCCTATGACACTCCCGTAATCAAGACAAATCTAACGATACCTCATACATCAAAATCCATCAAGCCGTTTAGGCTACAGGAGGTCACAAAGGAACAGACATACATACATACTTACATACACTCGAAAAACATTACCCTCCTTCTTTGGCAGTCGGGTAAAAATTTGACACAATCAGTAACAAACAACGAAGTTATACAAAATATTTCGGTTGGCAGTGTTTACAACAGAATTTGCAGTATATTTGTTACATTATTGCTCTTAAAATGATTCTTTAAAATTTACAAAAATTTTAGAACAGGCAAGTGAATTGTGTACTCTATACTACCTATCTCATGATTCTCTTCTAGCAAAACCTGGATTAGCAAAACGTAACCAAAGCAGCCAAGGAAAGCTAATCATCTGTTTTGTACCACAGCATACAATTGCTTTATTAAAGTTACTGATGACCTTAGCCCTGCATCTATCACTACCTTCTCATCTATAAAAGAAGAAACTGCGCGAGTTGTAACTAGTCACGATCGACCATTTGCAATTCTAGTTATGAAGGTAAACATAGTAATAATAGTGCACAAATTGTAATAAGCTCGCTCGCCTTGCCTACGTGCGCCATCGTAACCCAGTTCACTCTTTCGACATGTACGAAAATAAGGCGTTAATACATTATGTTCGTTCACTTCTGTCTCTAGTTCACAAAGTTCTATATTTTCTACTGGTTATATTTGCGATACTGGGTTAAAAGTTTTGGCTTTTAATATTTGTCTTTCATTTTCACCTGCAGCAGTTTTTATCTTCTTAGTTTGATTGCCTTTATCTGTCATCCCGCACCTAGCCTCAAACCTAGGTATTGTAAACAATTTAAATAATTAGGTGCATCTTATCTGCTTATTCTTATTTTCTTTCTCTTAACCTTCATTACACAAACTTTTTTAAATCCTTGAACATTTTTCTATCTTTTTCATTACTTTTGAACAAGTCACGGAACTCATCAATCTGTATCGACTAATGTAAACTTACCGTAATGCACTCGACCGTTACATAAGCAAACAATCGCCGAAAATAATCGTGATCGATCGAATCACCCACTTAATCAAGTGGCCAGAGCTTTCGACTCGATGTTATCAATAAAACATGAGTTAGCTCTTACGACGAATGAGAATTGTTACGATAAAAGGTAACTCTTAGGTTGGAAATGTGCTCCCTGAAAATAAAGTTCTTGGATTTTCCTCAAACTGCAATTTTATGAGCTTGAAAGACCCTTCCCTTCTCTCTGGAAAATCTTACGAATTACATATCCATTCTTTAAGTTTGTATCCCTATCACACTGTGAGGATAAATAATACAGTGATCCCCTCTAATATGGACGGTGCACAGTAATCAGAGAGCATTCAGTCATCTAATATTCAGTAGAGGGAACAGCCTCGCGTCGTCGCCACAAGATCGCGTTACCTACGGCTGCAGGCGCGACGATATAAATTGCTTGCCGATGTGTGTACCGGATATTTTGACTGTGGAAACAGAAGGGGCGTTGATTTTCAAATTTCGAGTAGGTCGTACATTATTCATCGGTTGTTTTAAAGTTCTTAAACATATTTTTTCAAGTATTGTATTGTTCTAAAGTAGAAGCTTAGAATTTTAGTAGAAGTATCTTAAATTATAGGTAATGGAATTTTGTACAGTTCTGCGCTAGCCAACTTTGGCTACCTCTTATTGCTGTTTTAATAATTAGTCACAAAAGTAACTCCAAAGAAAAATAACGTTAGATTAATCTCGTAAGTACGATAACAGATTTAGAATTTGCTGTTAATAGCACTTAATCTAAATGTAACTTGATATTTATTTGTAATGAACATCTAAAATTTGTACAGATGTAAAGTTGACCTTGTTCTAAAATAGCTCGGCATCATTTTAGGCTACATAAGCTAAACAAAATTATTGTAAAAACACGTTTTTAATTAAATTGTTATGCCGTCGTCATGGGGAGAAATGGACAAATCTAATGAGCCCAGACTCGATATGTTAATTAGCAAATAACCCAAGCTAAAAGAAAAGTCTATTCCATCATCTGACCAGCATGATGGTATCGAACAATTGTATGCTCAACTAATCTATACAACATTACTACATAATTAAGTCTTATTCGTTTCAAGTCGACGAAATAAAATCGTGTGACAAGAAAAAAACAAATCACGAACTTGCACAAATAAATCTGTAAGAAAGAACAAAAACAAGACTACAAATTACAAAATGTCGCGTTGAAAGTCAAGCAGTGTAAACAGACATACATTATAATATATGCATGTATTTATATTACAGCAGTACCTATATGTATAAGTCCTTATTTGTGAGATTCAACCGTTATTTGACATTCATACATAATGCCACCCACATTATGTATATTATCCTCAGAGATGTTTGTTTTTAACCAAAACAACCGTTGCTTGTGAATAAGTAGCTATGGCTTTTTATTTGAATGTGTTATATGATTTGTATTGGATTTAATATAAGATTTTCAATCAAGATGTTGATCTTTTCCATTGGGGTCCAACTGGGCCGATCTTAGGTACCTATTGCAGCTTCGGCCTAAAGCAGGAGTAGGAACCTTCTCTCGCCTCATCTTGAGCGAGAGAAGTCATTTTATGATTTTCCCCTCACAAGAACGAATCTTCTCTATGTGGAAAGTATGTACTATTAATACCCAGATGTAATAGTACGCACGTACGGGATTGATATAATAGGCTTCACATATATTAACCAACTTTTACTCAACCCTTTATAACAAAGCAATAAAGATGACTTTCCGAAATAATAAAGTGGTAAACGCAGTTAGGTATGTATATATGTATAATTAATTTTAATTGAAAATACTTATCTACTTACGCGGTTGGGATGTATTGTTGACTAAGTAAATTTATCCAAGGCTCTACCTACTTAAATACTAGAAGATTAAAAATTATTTACATTATGCTCTCGTCCAAGGTAAAAAAATCAAGGCTAATTAAACTGACTCATCTAAATTGATTAAAAGAATGCGGATAATGACTTACTATGTAAAGAGGACGTGCATATTTGCAAAGGAAAACGAATATTTTTCTAATCTAAAATAAGAAAGTTTTAAGGAAGCAGATAAAAAAACCGTAGACTTGTCTATGCTTTTATTTTACCCGTTAATTGTTATTAGACTGCTGGAATATGTTCTCTTTTTTATCAAGTAAAATATTAATTCGTAGTGACATCTTAAACTGGCTCACAGTTGGAATTCCCAAACAACAGAAAAAATACCTATAAAGTCCCAAATAAAAGATAAGGTAAAATTTAACACAAATTATACAGATTTAGGCTTTATAGTTTGTAAAAGAAACCACTTCATCCGATTTCCTCCATAACCATAAATCACATAAGTAATTAGTTGTCACATAACAGTTATAGTACGAACAATTTTATTGTAGCGTGACTAGCACGCGATCTCTGTCACGCCACCAGCTTGTATTATCTGTGCAATTGTGTACATAATCTGTGCTGCAGTGAGATAAAACTGTGTTTGCCAATTATTTTTGAACACTGATAACGTGTGATGTATGCAAAATGTTTGTTAATGCTGGTTGGTTAGATAACATTACATGTTTATTTTAGAAGCAAATTGAGTATTAAGTAATTAGGTATAAACGAATATTGTTGTATTATTGTTCAAAAATTTACTCGCTGCCTTCTTTTCATGACAATCCTTTATGTTTTTTTAGAAGGGCAATGTCATCTATTTACTTTTCACGCTCCGGGTAAAGCGAGAGGGAGTCTCTGATTCTTATAAAAACTATTCGTTCCCACTCCCGCTCCAGAAAAGTTTACTTATAGTAAGACGAGCGGTGCACTTAGCCTCTCCATTTTGGTCAAGTTTTATGGTATTCTTTTCTAATGAATAGTGCCCTAAAATAAAAATAGTGGACAAATTATACTAAATATACTTATTAATGTTTTAATATAAACATGTTGTTGACAGAAAGAGTCACGTACTGACGTGCAGTTCCACCTGGCAGCGCTGCGAGGTGACTGCGACAGGCTGCGGCAACTACTAGACACAGGGAAGGTGCACATCGACTCCAGAGACAGGGTGAGGATACCGTTTTAATTTTATACATGTATAGTATAAAAACTTGAGTATAGTACTTACGTGCTAAGTTGAATCGATTCGAACGATATACATAAGGAATACAATTCAACGTACTCTTCTGACTAAGAAAAAAACTGACATATAATAACATTCCAAATAAAATATTGTCGATGTATCGAATTCAGCTCCGTATATTTGCGATCGTGGCTATCCATTCTGTGTTTACACATCCCTGGAGAACGATCCCACGAATACCTATTCATTCGATTGGTTTGTTTGTCATCGTACATTTCCAAATATAGTATGAACATAACATTTTTCTTTATACTTTTTATTGGAAAATTATTACTGAACAGGGCTCCTGGATTCGATTGAGCCTTTTGGTTTCGCAAATTTAAAACTGCGTCCTATTAGTATATGGCAATAGGGTCGCCCTCGTGCTTATCTCTATATAATACAACGTAAACGTAATTCCAATCTTAAATAAAGTCAAATTCCCTTGAACGTAGGAAGGCCTTTGATAAACTCATAACTTAACTAGTGAAAATGGGGTTGTAGCTAAAGTTTTGGATCATTATGCCATGAAATTTTGTTAAGCCTTATATACAGTAACTCTAAATTCTTAGAATATCAACTCTTTAACAACTATTTAATATTATATAGTGAACAAACACTCTCATTTAACTGGACCAAGGATTATTCAATCTAGGACATTGGAATCAGACTGGAAACATGTGATTTATTACCAGAGTATATGTGACAAAATGTCTCATTTGTCACATCGCCAGTTCGTCACCCCGACACTTGACTAGACATACATTAAATCTAAGATATGGATATAGGACGTATCGATTTCAATATCTCAGGTGAATGTCAAACGAGTTCAAACTACTGGCGCTGAGGCCAAAGATTATGATTGTATAGACTGATTCACTTGGTCCAATATTCTAGAATAAAATAGAGTTAAGTTTGTTTTTTGTAGCTATTGTTTCAATGTTTTGAAGTCCAACTTAAATACTAGTAAATACATTTTATGAAAAAAAAAACTGATAATAATGCTAGTCAACTTGTTCAACAAAATAATTTTTAAAACAAGTAACCAGACTTTTCATTATTTTGCTAGGCGCTATCTAAGAAACCATTGAAAACCAATACAGAACAGAAACATTTCGACGAATTTGACGCGAAAGTTGTAAGGAATAAAACAGCTCCGTCCTCTAACGGCCCACTAAAAAGATGAGGACGTGACGATAAACCACATTTTCGAGATCATGCGCCAAGATTAGTAGTGTCACAAGCAAAATTGATGACTCGACGTAGCTCAAGTGACACGATTTGCCTATAAACCGTTACCGTTGATGACAACCCTCGTCCCCTCGAAGAAAGACGGATAGGGAATGACGCAACCCTAGTAGCTAAAAAAGGAACCTTTAAATAAATCGATGCCCTAGATTTTATGCCAATTTCTTTGTTGATCCCGATTAGTTTCTGGACGATTGATTTTGTTCTTGCTGAAAGCTGTTGTTTAGAAGATAACTTTGTTCGTAATTTGGTGTTAAAACGGCTAAAACCTTTTCAAAATTGTATGTAAGCACTGAATCTCAGAAGTTATAAATGTGCGCCATTAATTTGAATCATATTCCAATGTAATAAAAGATCACAAAATAGTTTAGAAATAAGCCGAGTAGCCGAGTGATATTAGAATTGTATTAATAAAAAGTAAATCAATTGTAATGAATGTAATTAAGGCCCTAAAGTGTTACTTAATTATTTTCTCCGTAAATGCATTCTGTAATAGTACATTACGTAGAGAAAGAGTAGCGAATCACTATTGTACAGTAACCACAAATTAATGTATGGTAGCCGCAATAGGAAGTAATACTGATTTAAAGCTAACGGCCCACTTTCTGCTACCATTCTTTCTGATATGAAATTCACATAACTTCCCTTTGTTCAAGTTACAAGATGAAGCGATTTGTAGATTGAAATTTTATCGTAGTTATATCGGGACTATTAGATATTTTTTTAAACATATCAAAGAAATGGTCGTTATATTTTATGGGGATAAATTCTTTCTAGGGAGATTAGGATTTGACTTAATGTGAAGATTACATAAAATGACTCGTGTTGGCCTGAAGGGCAAGGCGCCCGATCCTAGTGCGCGACGATGCTGGTTGTACGTGTTATAAGTACTTACTTTACAAAATTATGTAGAAAAGGTCGCAAGGAAACTTAGACTTAGTTTATAATTATAAGTTTTCTGATTTCAATCAGAAATCTGCCTTGAGCAAGTTGTGAATAATCCTCAAAGCTTATCTGTGTGAGGAGAGGCCTTTACTTAGCAGTAGTTGCTTTTATGTTTCTTCTTAGAAGTTTTGAAGCTTTCTTATTTGTATTCTGTAAATCGCTGAAACTTTATATGAAATCCTTGGCGTTCATGTAGAGTTAAGACGGCTTTTTCTAGAAGGTAGGTAATACAATTTTATAAATTCCCGCTTCTGCCTACCTTTTAGTCCACAGCGAATAGTATTATCGTGCATTATTACTTAGTGGCTACCTGTCATGTTTTGGTTATAAACAACGCTCCATTTACCTCGCTTCTACATTAAATTGCGCAATATAGCTTTTCTCCTTTACCTATTTTGCAACAACATACATGATATACCCAAGAAGTAGATATGAAGGAGTCTTTATTTAAAATATCTAAACATTAATATAATTTTAATGATGTCTCTAAAACTTTGGAATATCTGCACTTGAGGATTAAAAAGCCCGTCGCCATAAATGTCGGTTTCTTAAGCCGAACTATTAAATATAAATTCTAGGAAACTTCCAAAGATTTATTGGCACTGTAAAATCATCACTGGAAGCCATTTCAGCTTACTAACTACCTAAAAACTAAGCATAGGTCACTTAGTAATAAGACATGAAGCCAGAAAAATATTATGTACATAAAAATATTATGTCTCTGTACCTATCTCAAGTTTTATAATTGAATGGCCTTTTTTGTGAAGGGAAAATCATAAAATTACTTTTCACACCAAGGGTGAGGCGAGAGGGAGTGTCAGACTCTTACTGACAAAAAACCCCCCTGTTCCTTCTCCTGCTTTAAGCCGAGGTCGCGGTGCCTAATTGCGCTTACCCCGCAGCCTCGGTTGATAATTCTGCGGTCTATCTATCTAATGCAGAAATATTCTAACCGGTTTTCTTCTCAAGTTTCTCAAGCTCAGTTAATGCTATTACAAACGATATCTTGCAATTCTCATCCCGCTTCCGCTTGTAACTTAAACCGTCCCAAGTTCGTGAATTCACGACAAAGCGTTAACTTCATGTAATATTATAAACGGCTCCTACAGTTGCGTAAACGTGAAAATATAATGGATGGGAACACACAGTGTAGTTGTAATGACGTGCGAATTGTGACCACTGTGCACTGTGCCCACGTATTGTTTGTGTACCCGAGTGTGGGACTCTGCACACTGTGCGCTTGTTAAATAATATTATTCAATTGTTATGTCATGTTAGTCATGTGCATGTCTTGTTTGCAAGGTTCTCGTAAACGAAGTCCTAACATAATTTTACTGTTAATTAATGTTATTTCTGAAAACGATGCTGCCATTTTGTGTTTTTGTTGTAGGAGCTTTAATACTAATTGGGGCTGTATTGTACTATGGGATAATCTCAATTTTGAAAATTTTGTAATGTCTTGGTGGTATAGAGGGTCCTAGGAAGGACATTTCTTATTGATTACAAAATGTCATGCTTCTCATGCATGAGAATATTAGTATAATTATATATATTTAGTATAAATTGTAACAATGATTAGACACGACAGGCAAACGGCTAAAGAACACATCGTGAGGAAACCTAAACTTATAATCAAACCTGCTCGGAGTTGGAAAAGGCCTTTGCACAGCAGTGAGCATTTATAGGCTGACTTTGCTTGAAAGGATCCTGAAATATGACAATAGCTTACGGCTTGTTCAATATTAGTCATAAATTGAATCTATTTATAAAACTACAATGTAGGTTAATTGTAAGGAAAATCTATTCGAAGTAACTATCAATGATATCACAATAAAAAATATCAAATGACTAGTCAATGATTGCTCTCACGACATTGCTATCTCAGATTCCATCCAACATTCTCTCCTTTCTACAATTTCTTTACAAATTGAGCGGAACGATTAATTAATCAATTAATTCATGTTTACTTTCCTCACGGATTAACGTAGTTATGCATGTTAATCTGCATTATGTGTTTACATACATGTAACTTACTCAAATTGTTATGGTAATTTGTATAATTACTCTACTGTTAGCATTAGTCAAATAATAAAGCTGGTAGTTACATTTTGAATAATTACTGTTGAAAGTATTTTTTTTTTATGGTGTAAGTCGGCAAACGAGCACACGGATTACCTGATGGTGAGCAATCCGATATAAGGATCGGGAAGGGATAGGGGAGGGGGAGGGATTGGGCCTCTGGTAACCTCACTCACACGGCGAAACACAACGCTATGGGTTGTTTCACGCCGGTATTCTATGAGGCCATGTTATCACTCCGGTCGACCAGACCCATTCGTGCCGAAGCTTGGGTCTAATGGTCTTGGCAAAAATTTTATTCGTTAATTATTTAGATTATGAGAAAAGACATTAAAGAGAGGAGAAGAAATTTAGATTAAAGAGAGAATTTGTAAACGAAATTTGAGTGAAAGATTCTTACAGAAAAAACCATAGTTACTATTTAACTTTGTCTGATTTTAATTCTAAAATTTTGTACAAATCTAAAAGGTAGCATACACATACATACTTAGTTTAACTTCATCATTAACCGGAAAACAGTTGACAGCTCGTTAGTTTACCCGCAGTTAGTGTAAGCGCTGCGTGCAATGTAAACAGCGGCTTATAATTACACTTTAAGTGAGCACTTGTTAATCATGGAAACCAGACCTTTAACAGGGCTGCTATTTTCGGCCAGGTACATGCAAGCAGCATTTAATAAAAAAAATATTTTTCTTCAACTACTATGTTATAAAGAGATTCGATTGATTGTTTGTTTTTTAGGCTCCGAAACTATGTAGGTACATGACTATAAGAATATCGAATATATAGAATAACTAAAGAATATTTCAACTAAGGGCAGATTTTTCAATAGTTGCTGTCATACATTCCGACGACAGCACCATAATTATTCCCCAGATAACTTTTATCTAACCATTGAAAAATCTGTCCTTAGTTGAAAAATCTTCAACGGTCAGAAAGCTAAACTATATCCTCGTTGCAAACAAAACTGTATGACGTTAGCTGCTAAGTAAGCTAGTATAGGCGGTCAATGTCTTTAATCGTCAAAAAATTGTTTAACCCCACTGGATAACGTATTATCCACAAAGGGCAAAATGAATTACTATGACATCAGCGAATTGGCACGAAGAATTCACCATCCCAGCTTAAGTACTTCATGATATGTATATTTCATTCTTTCAGATGAGTACACTGGTTTGGTGCTAATAACTTAATACTATTGGAAACCTAGTTTTGGTTTTACAACACCAATTTAAAAAAAAAACCAGTGTGCTTGTCAAGGGCGAGGAGTTGAGTCCTGTAGATACAACTGTCTTTTTAGGTATAACCCTGGACGCTAAGCTCCAGTGTGGCCCACACATACATGGGTTGTCGAAAAGCCCAATTCTGCAGCGTTGCCATTAAAAAAAAAACCAAACATCCATAATTATTTCTAAACACCCTCATGTATGTATCTGTGTTCAAATCTAGGACACAGCAAGCATAATTTACAAAAAAAAACATAATTATACACGCACTAACATGTGCTATGATGATAAACACAGACACACACATTCAGATAAGTACTGCATACAATTACTTTTTGCAGTTACAAGTTATACGGACAATTGCCAGCGACATTGACCAGTGATTAACGTACAAATACAAGCAATTGACGACTAATTAAGCTTCTAAGGTTCATAGTCTATCCTTTTAATAGTTGGAAATATTTCCTATTATGAACCTTCCGATGTCAATAACAAATCCCCCCTGAGCAAGCGTTGTAGCGATGCTTAGTCAGTGTGATGATTATTGTTCCAAACATGTGAGAAGCCTTTGCTCAACACTTCTGGGATGGTTATCTCTGATGTGATGTCGACAAATATTTTGCATAATGTCGAGAACTATATTTGGTGCAAATTTGCTTTATGTAACTGACATTTGTAAAATCTTCAACTTTGCTTTCAGCGGTTTAAGGAATACCACAACATAAAGTTTAGGTCAGTTAATGTTGTTGTCTGTAATCCGATCTTCATACATAAAATTACTGACAAAAACTCGATCGAAAAAGGCTCGCGATATTTTCTATTGAGATTACAATTAAAACCTAAACCTCGCTTACTCAGAGCTATTTAGCGATTTGAAACTTAAACTTAGAAATTACAAGTGTAAGTTTCGTTACTACCTATGTCAGTCGCGTTTGGATAATTTTCGACTTTATAAGCTGTCTTGAATACATCTACGTCGCTAACAGATAAAACCACTTCCAAGAAGGGTTACATTTCTAGATTAATTACGAACTTAACACTTCTTGAAACAACCTCACTGACCTACAATTTTAATGCGTAGGTTTGGCACATCAACGTTTTAGCTTAAATTAATGCTTAATTGCATCCCATTTCGGCTATAATTGATAGTAAGCTGTCTTGACTTACCATATTAGTGACGGAAGTAGCCATCGTTGTGGCAAGAACTTAAGTAGTCACTGTTGTTTTAAAGAGTACCGCTAATACGTGTGTAGATTACAGTCGGTAAATAGATTTGTAGTACAATTCGATCCTTAGCTTGTAAGTGTTGTCCTTATTAAGAATAAAATTATGATTCGGCCATCATCAGCCAAAAAACCCGCCATTGCAACTTGTTAACAACAACTGTGGTTCTTCTTTCGTTTTATCAACATTTTACAACGTAGAATTCACACATTTTTGTTTTCAATTGTTTCAATTTACACATTCACACATTGTACATTGTAATAAAACTAAGACATACTTGCATACTACATTATAATTATAACACATAAACAAGCGAAGCATAATTGTAGGCAATAAGTCTCATTCTACATAAGCTCGTCCCAAAACATCTTGCGCGTAATAAAAAAGCTTGTAAAATTACACGTAAATTGTCCCTCGTTCACTTTTTGCGTTCACCTATTTCGTAGCAAAAAGAGGTTAATGATTTTCATGCGTGCACGTCTCCGATTATTTATACAAGTAATACATTATGAACCGTATCCAAACATTGAAAGGGACTTAAATAAAGCGCTGATTCATCTTCTTTTATTCATAAACTAGCGACCCGCCCCAGCTTCGCACGGGTAGGCACAATGACGATACTAAATTTCTCCACCTTCTTCTTTAATATCTCTATGTATTAATTCATCAAACACCAAACGAATGCCGGCGTTAGCGTACCTATTGTCTTACTGTTGTGTTTCTAATTACTGCGATTGAAAGGTTAATAAAACCGCATAAAAATCGGTTGCGTATTTATTTAAGATTTATGCGTTCATATAGGGATATAGGGACAGATAGGTAATGCAACTTTGTTTTATAGGTAAGTAGGTACTAAGTAATGCTTCACCCAGGTCTTAAGTCTGGTTTATTTTAATGTTACGTCTGCCGAAAATATTTTCGGATTATGTAACAAGGTAACAAATTATTACGAATTATTACGTTTTCATTATAAGTACTAAATTCTCTGTAGATACGGTTCTCATATTGTTATGATATGATAAATAATGGTTTAAGTATCATAATATGTATTTAGTAAAACATAGTCTTTAATTAAAAAGTAAACTGTTATTCTTATTAATGCACTATAAGGTGTAACAATGTAAAATAGCAAAAAATATGATTAATGTTTTGAATAGTAAGTATCGTGAGTCATGCTAATTTTATTCAAAATAACTAATAACTCACGTGTGTTCTTGTATCAGTCGGCTAAGCGACGTTTCCGCGACGCGCACGCTACTTATGAATAAGAGTCTCGTTGTGACTTCAAACTAGTAAAACTTTTCTCAATTTGTCCACACCATGAAGACGATATTTTGCAATGCAAATAAAATTCTTAAATGGCAATGGTAAGTATTGAGCGCGTGAAGTCTATAAAAAGGTCTTTCTGGTCGCAAATTCGTTAGGTTAGTTAGGCTATTATGGAATCTGAGCGAATACGAATGTGCAAACTTGCAATCGATGCAATTATGAATAATCGCTTAGTGTCCGATTATCTCAAACTTCTCGATATCTAGTAAATATTATGGGGTACAAATGCTGTAAATACGAGTAGGTGTACCCGGTGTTTGACAATTAAACTACCCACATTTCGTTGACATGACACTCGAAGTCACCATGGATAGTACCTACCATTTACCGGCTTCATCTAGTTTTTCACATTAATTTGACGTGAAAAAGTGCCGTTTTATGGCCTATTTGCAAAAATAAATTCATTGTTTCATTTCATTTACTAAATTTACACTTTTCATACTTCAATGTTTATGTGCGCTCTTTTCGGTCGTCTACGTCGGTCTCCAGCCGGCCTATATTCACAAACGAACGCTTTATGCCGTGCCCTGTAAAAAGCGGCAAACGAAAGTTCTTAATGAGTTTTCTTTTGCGGCGGAAAATGTAACTGTTTGTACTCACTCACAGAGTACAGACGTTTATTTGCATAGCCGAGTAAATTGTGAAAGTGTCGGAATGTTATTTATTTGTGTAGGTAGTAAATGCAGATCAACAGTCGGTATACATAGTATCGATATAAAATAATAAATCGATAAAATAAAAATCGATAGGTATATCTAAACAAAATAAAATTTTGATTCGCATCATCATCTTCATCATCAGCCTGACTTTGTCGATGTTAAGCTCTGTGGATATCGTCAGTCCCAGTCACCGAGCTTGGAGCACTCATCGGGTGATAAGTTCCATGTGCAACCATAATGACAGAAGAAAATAAAATAATCTTATTGACAGTAGAATGTTGTAAGGGTTACTCGTGTAATAAATATATTCTAACTGCCAGCAGATACATGATGGTAGTGGAGTTGGTTAACTGGGCGAGGATACAAATACAGTTTTTTAGGATCGCGTACGTTAATTGCATTAAATGAAGACCGAACCGTCAGTGCAGTAGTCGTTTTTCGTTTATCAGTAACTGAGAATATTTGCTTAAGCTTACACTTTACATAATTTTAATTGGTTTTAGAAAATGTTTAGTTTCAGCTAATCTAATCTTATCTAAAATATGCACGTGAGATAAATCTCGGTGAGAGTATGTTTGCAATAACGATAAAACATAAGAAAATGTGCTCACAATGTCATCTCATAATTCCTGTACATTGTTACAAAATTCCACATACTTAACATCACTAACATCACATTTTGAATGTGGGCACCGCGAATAATAACTACGACGGAGATTTGAGTCCCGTGTCTTGTCTCAAAGACCATAAGTCAGATACATCGTGATGAAAAAAATAATTCATCAACTTGTTTTCAAAATTGTTGGGTTTTTCACGATTTATTTGAATCAAGTATTGATTTTGAAGGTCAGGTAATGGCTGTTTTGTGGCATAACATAAAGAGCGTTTTTACACAAGAATATTTTTTTTTCCTTCAGGATGGCACGACACCGCTGATCCTGTCAGCTGCGATGGGTCACACGGAGTGTGTGCGCGAGCTACTGGCGCAGGGCGCCGACCCGGCCTGCAGCAGGACGGTATTTATGCCTTACGTTATTCAATATTAGTTTATGTTCACAACTACATCAATATAATATTAAAAGAACTAAGTACTTATTCTATTATTCTGCATGTAATATCAGTGTGATTTTCGATTTCGAAATATTTGCACAGTACATATATAAAAGTGTATGCAATAATTCCAGACGGGAACGAGTGCTCTGTTCTTCGCAGCGCAGGGCGGGTTCCTCGACATCGCGCGGCTACTGCTCGATTCAGGAGCTGCTATCGACGCTCCTAGCATGGTCAGTGTCATATATTTATTATATTCTGTAAATATGAGGTTTGTTATAACATTTTATTGGAATATTCGCGTTCACGTTCCCAGGACGGTGGCACACCGTTGTTTGTGGCGTGCCAGTGTGGTCACCTGCCAGTCGTCGACGAGCTCATCCGGAGGGGAGCCAACGTCAACGCTTGTATGAAGGTAAAGCTAATTTATTATACTTATTAATTTCGTCTGAACTTTAATGTTTTAAATTTAAAGAATATTGTCATCAATAGACGTCTATTGCAAAACAAAATGTCATCTTTAGAAGCGACACGGTTATAGAATAATTGATCTTATTGTATTCTTTATTTATATTGTGTTCTGAAATTTAAATTGTGTACTCTTTATTAGTTTTCCACGGATAAGAAGTCGGATTCGTATCTTGGGATTATTTTTTAAGTTAAGTCGGCAAACGAGCAGGCTGATTTCCTAATGGCAAGCAATGAGTGCTGCCCATGGACACCCTCAACAATAAAGTAGTTGCGTTGCCTACCTTTTGGGGATCAGGGATTTGTAAATTTATGGATCTAATTTACTCGGCGAAACACAACGCCGTGGTTGTTTAACGTTGGTTTTCTGTGAAGCCATGGTATCACACGGGTCGAGGAGTCAACTTAGATATTGGGAATTATAATTTCTATAGTTTTTTTTATTAAAGGAAATTTATTTATTTATTCATTCATATTGCACAATGTACGTACATATAATGACAAGTATAACATACAACCAGTACAGTACATTACTTTGTTAGGGCGCAGTAATTTAATGTATAACTAGATACATATAGATATAATGTGATAAATTTGGCTATGATTCCAGGACAAAGCGAGTCCCCTGTTCATAGCGGCGCAGAACGGGCACGAGGAGGTGTGTCGCGCGTTGGTCCGCGCGGGCGCCGCGGTGGACGGCGCGCGCGCTGACCGCGCCACGCCGCTGTGGATCGCCGCGCAGTGCGGGCACCAGCACGTCGCGCGACTACTGCTCGCTGCCGGCGCTAGTGTCGACCATGTACGACAGGTGCGGACTGCCACTACTACCTACTATCTACACTACGAACGACGAGCCTACACTACTACTACTTACACGACGAACTGGGACATGCGTCTGCTACGACGCTAATTCCTTTTGCTTCGCATTTGCACACCAATATTTATTCTCAATTTTTAAATACTGCTCTGCTATTCTCAACTTATAAAAATATATAATTTTGGTGCATAGAACAATCACAACATCTGTTTAAATTAATATTATTTAATTTATCTGATGACTGTAACGTTGAAGTACTGATAACTGCACGGTGAGCAACCGGCTACAAAACAATAGTCGCAGATTCGATTCCTGCGCGTAACAACTGTTTGTATGATCCAAAAATTTTGTGTGGTGTATATGTGAAATTGTTTGTTTGTAATCGCACATGACACAGTAAAAATACTAGTGACGACCAAATTTTTTAAATAAAAAAAAGGACTGAAAAAGTCTTTAACAGTTAAAAATCATAAAAGATAATATCTGAAATATTTTATAAATAGAACTTAATTCTGTATTAATCGCTCCACTATAATCTTACAGGACGGAGCCACACCCCTCTTCAAAGCCGCTCACAAGGGTCACGCTGCCGTGGTTGTCGAACTGCTCAAATACAAACCAAACCTTGGATTGCTTCCCGTAAGAAATTATTACTTAGCTGGAGATATCAGTAGCGACATCTATTGAAAAATTGTGTAACCTATTATGGCACTACTAGATAGCGCTAAAATAATTGTTTATCTACTACACGTAAGATGGCGTTGATGTAATTTGTTTTTCTATTCCACACTAGATGGCGCACACGTTATATTATTCGTAACTTCATAAAATCGGTTACTACCTATTATTTAAAGTAATTGACGACATGTTGTAACGCGTGTATTAGTTGACTTGGCTCTATTTATCCTAAAGGAGGGAAAAGCCAGAGTTTTGTGAACATATTTGCGTTTGCAACAACTACAATATTTTTTTCTCAATTTTCAGAACGGTCAATCTGCTCTCCATGGAGCAGCTATGTTCGGTCAGCTATCCTGCGTCCGTCTGCTGGCGCGGCGCTCGCAGTTGTCGCTGCGGAACTCGAGCGGACTGACGGCGCTGCAGGCCGCCGCCGCCGCCCGCAAGCACGACGTCGTCACCTACCTGCGCAGCCTCGAACACGAACTCGCACACACATGATGTCGCCACCAACGCCACACATACACACCGGACTCTTGATCGTTACCGTCTTATACACAGTTGGGATCTGGCATTTACTGCGAGTTACTGTTCCACCATATTCGTTACCCTTCCAATCCAATCCAAGAAGTATTTTTTGAATGATAACAAATATCATTGTTGATTTTATCCACAAGCGCAAGATTATGCTTCGTATATATTTTAATTATAACACAGTAGTAAATGACAGCGCCCAACTAAGAGACGAATCATTTGTTATAAATCTCACACGTGGTTAACCGGTCTGCATACAATCTCGTATTCCTAACTATAGTTACTAAAACTGAATATTTTGTATGATGTACTCGCAGCCATACTTGTATAGCTTTACCCACTCGCCTTAAGCAATACCTCACCTTATACTAAATAGTTGTACATTCACTCTACCTTAGTAAACGGTAGCAATTTTCATTAAAATAGACCATTATTTTTACCTAGCAAGTACCATGTTCTAACTACACGAATTTGTCAAAGTATTTATTTTTAAATCAGGTTGCTACCGTTTACAATTATACGTGAACAAGTTCGAAAAACAAACAATTGGGTTTATTGTTGGTGCTGATTTAGTCAATAAGCGATATTTAAACATGTTTTAATTTAACACTAGTCAACTCGTAGCGGTCATTACATTTTCTGATCTGAAATGAAAAACTGATATTAATGAAATCAAATAAACGAAAATATCAGGAGTTGTAGATGACCGCCAAACGTCTTAATCACTGTAGCTTGTACGACATAAAAATGTATTTTTCATACAATCACATACACAACTAGTTTGTAAGGTAACTGTTGTATTGTTATTGTATTTAGGCTAAGCGAAGTATTTATTTGTATTATACGTCACCACTTGTAATGTAGTCGTCGCTCAATTGTATTGATATTGAAACAGATTTGTTGTGGTATTCTCAATTAGGAATCTCATTTTAATTTTGGAAAGTATTTAAAAAATGAACTTACTTTTTGTCTTTTACGCTAGACCAATAGTCTTCGGGTCAATAGAAGTTCCTCTAACCACACAATAGTTCCATAAATTGTCAATTATATTTTAATGAAATGGTTTTAGGGATTAACTCACCAAATAAACATGATATTGAACTCAAACACATAATACATAGCATAATATGTGTTGGTTTAGGTGTAAGTTTCCACAATGTTGTTATGTTATAAATTATGAACAGTACAGTTGTTTTTTTTAATATAAAGTTTTACTTATCGCCTGTGTTTTCATTTTTACTATATTTCCACTAACTCCGGCTCCGCCTTCAGCCGCTAATGCAATATCGATATTGCATTAGCGGGTTTGTTCTGTATTCTGAGATTAGCGGAAACGTAAACGGAATATTCAGTAACCACCTTTTTTTGAAGTCATAATGCTTTCTAAACAAGCAATTCTTGTTTTAAATATAAGTATACTAGCAGCCCACCCCTGCATCGGAAGTACAACTATCGCGCTGAGTAAAAAAATGTTTTTGTCTCTTAAATCTTTTATAAGATTATTTCTGTCTACTTTTCTAAAACTTTCTTTCAAAAAAAGAAATGAAAGTGTAAACATGTGACCAATAAAAACTGGTGTGCCTCCATTACTTCCCATTTAAAAATAAAAGGCCACAAGAACTTACATAAAGAAATGCATTTTTATTAAAATATTATCAATCATTACATAATCTTGTCAATAATTATAAAAACAGTCAGTCCATGTACTCACAGAATACAAGTTACACATATTAATAAAATATCTAGGTAAAATACACATGAGTAATTTTACCGCCCTCTAGTAGTCGCTACTACACATTGAATCCCCCTTAAAATTAGAGTTAGTTAGGTACACTTATGTATGGTGATTGTTGTCAGATACATACTATTATTTGACTATCTTCCCGCTTCGCACTGTTCTAACATGTCCAGTGCAGCTATAGACAAATGCTGAGCGGAGGGACGCATGGCGGGCATTGTCTCCGTGCAACAATGGAACAGAGCCAGAGGATGCATGTACACCTTCTCTGAGATGTTTGCTGGTACAGCTGGCCTTGTGCCTGCAAATTAAAAATATTACATATAATACAATATATACATAAACATAATAATATAAGCTATGGTCATGAAAGTGAAACTACATTTCAATGCCTTTATTAGAAATTAGGTATATTATAGTAATTATAAAAATTAGAGTATATATCAATCAATCAACAAATAATAATAGGGATCATTAATACAACTGATCCTGTTACTACCATGTTTATGGTTTGACTACCACTGAAACCACTTTCACTCTGGTGCACATTATTAAAAACATTTATAAATAGCAACTTACCATATCTATCAGAGAAGTAATCAGTCAAACTTTCCATGGAGTCATCCAAACATTGCACACTGTCATCCTCCAAGTAAGTGTCTTCAGTCTGTGTGTGTGGTGGGAGGAGAGCCATCATCTCCCACAGAGTGAGCCCCAGTGGCCAGATGTCTGTCTTGCTGGAGATCTCACCACCATGTATCACTTCTGGGGCACTCCAAGCTTCGGTCCCTGTAAAAATAAGAATCGATAAAATTGTGTCCACAATAATCTTGGCTAGATACTTAGATAGATATAGATTAGTTTGTATATAAAAATATTGTGATTTTAAAACAAAACACTTTTAAAATAGGTGTTGATATTCTGGGTTCAGTGAACATAGAATTCCATTACCAGCTTGTTTCAATACATTCAATAGATATTATATTACAAATTACAAAAGTATTATAATAGTATAAGTTACTTTAAGAGATAGGCAAAACAGTGTGAGTTTGTTGAAATATGCATGGCTGGCAATATGGCACTGACTGAACAATGATATTATACAATGATAGTGAATAATTGCATATCAGGTGTGTAATCACAAGTTCACTACTTCTTGCAGTAAAACCTACATATACAGGGCTAGATATTTCTAGTTCTAGATTGCCTAGGTAATGAGTAAAACCTAATTGTATCACAAATTGCAGTTTGATGAATTAAGCTGTCTCATTGTTCATGTAATTAAACATGTGGTGTAGAGCAAGAGTGCTCTTGAGAGATTACCACTCTTATTCCTTATAACCAACTTAACTTTCAGTTGCAAATTCAAACCAGTGTAAAACAAAACAATCTTAAAATATATCAGATTATACACACATTTTATAGATAACTGTTGTCGACAGTTGTAAATAAATAAATTACTCTCTATGCAGTTAATAACATCTTACCAAAGTATGTAGCTTTCCCAGCCATTCTCTTGTCAAATACACCATTTTCATCTAGTGGTAGACAGACACCAAAGTCGCAGAGCTTACAAATTACAAAGTCTCCATTGACCAGAATGTTGTATGACTTCATATCTCCATGCAGAATTTGCATGTTTGTATGAAGGTAATCCAGTGCACTGGCTATGTCGGCACAAACCTTAAACAAGAATTATTAATAAACATTAAAGAAATGAAAATTGTAAATAACTTAATGTAACAAAGTTTTTATATTGATACAAGTTTATTATAACATTTAGCTAGACAGGCAAAGGCCTACCTAGCCTATGAAATGTATGAGTAAAATGCACATGGTAAATTTCATATAACTCAGATTGAGAATCTTTAATAATAAACTCACAACTATATACTTAGATCATTATTACTTATTAATTAGCATCAGCACTATTATTGCCATTTACATTACCCAATACAGATACTTAATGGGTTTGTTCTCATAACAGAAAAACAGAGATAAAAGGTATAAACTTACTTTTAACATTTGTCTAGGAAGAAAAGGCTCACTGTTAGTTTCAATTCTCTTCTCAATCATATCACCCAGAGACAGGTCACAGGCCTCCATGCCAAGGTACAAGATCTTTGCATTGCTAAACGCGCGGAAACCAACAATGTTTGGGTGCGACATGCGACGTAATAGATCCGCTTCAGCTTTTAAGCGATGTGTGTATACCTTGTTTGGTTTCACACGTCGGTTCAGCATTTTGAGAGCCCATGGTGAACGGACTTGTCCTGCTCGAGGTGATCTAACTAGCTGCATCACATTTACGCCTACAAACAACAAGAAACAATAAATATTTCAAATCTTTTTCCACGTGGAGAAACTTTTCAACGGTCCTCTTACAAGTTGAAGTTGTAACTATCTGTAAGTACTAGATATTTATAATAGGATAAATAAAAACACAACGTGGAACTAGAACGGCTTAACATTAATAATTAATATTCAAAAGCTAATAAAAATTGTCGTCCTATACTGCGAATATCTGCAAACATTTTACCAGTTCCATATCCAAGTCGGTTCAGAAACGGTGATGGAGGTATTGTTATTGTTTCATCTCGATCCAGAGCTTTGCTTTTGATTGGCGTTTTAAATTCTGCCATTTTATCACTAAAATAACAAATAGTAACACAAATAATGAAATTATTGGGGCAATACAGGATAAAATCAACGTCGATATCTGTTACTATTTCAAAGGCTTGTTTTGAATTTGAATTTGCTTTGACAACGTGTGTACCAACATAAGAAAATAATTTGTCAAAGACAGAAGCTTCCTTTCTCGTTTTATTCGATAGGGTAAAAAAGAGATGACATCATTTTAAGTTTAACATACCAATAAGTACGATTTTGGGACTGCAATAAGATTTCGTTCTGAAATATTTTTATTGAAATTGTTAGAAATCGTTATAAAATGAATGATATGAAAATGTTGCAGTAAATTGTACAATACATCAGGTAACAGATTTTAAACACTGTCTGGTGAATCATATTTATGCATTTAATTTATTAACCACTATTTTAAAAGCCCTCAAATTTGCAACGCCTGAAAAGGCCGGCTGTGCCTGTTATTTTCATTATGATCTCGAATTGAATTTAAATATTTTTTCTGAAAAGGCCGGCTGTGCCTGTTATTTTCATTATGATCTCGAATTGAATTTAAATATTTTTTAATTTCTTTTTTGTATTTTGTGGAAGGAGGAAAATATAATAGGAATGACAAAATTAAATTTCAGCGGGTGTGGATAAATTCTTAAAATTAACGACATTTATTATTGCATTCTTCGACGCAGAACTGGCTACAAGTAAATCGAGTGCGATCATGTAATGGTTACGTGTGTGGTGTATTATTATTACAGTTGATTACAGCCAGTGCCTGCCAGTGTGTATAACGTGCTAATGATAGGCACTATTTATATATTACTCACTGAACTTGTTCATGATAACTTGTAGGTATGGTTTGAAACGTTACAGCAAAGGGTCGGTTGCTCTCAAATAATTTATTTAGACAAATACAGAGATATAGATATGAAATGAAGGAAATTAGGACCACTCACACACACGCATTGCTACCATCGTACCACGAGCACCACCAGACAATCGGCAAAACGACATCGCTTCATGGTGAATGCGATCTCTAGTTTTATTATCACTGTTAAGGTGGGAGAATTCTTTTCAGGAATCGGTGTTTCCCGAAGGGAAAGGGAGGGAACGTACCTGGATATATTGAAGGCCGAGTGAATAGGTTGCTTATGGGTAGGCGTGCTCCATTGTAGGTCGCATCATCACTTACCACAAGGCGTAATAAAGGCAAAAAGACTGCCCATTTCTAAAAAAAAGGAATTAGGTACAATACCCAATGACCAAATAAAAAGATCATCGTAAAATAATTCAAAACAAATTACATCTGTTAATACCTAGGTATGTACTTACTATGTACCTATATCATTCAAATAACTGTGAAACGGATGGTAGGTCACTAATAGGATAACGTACCTATTCGTTCGGCATTTTTTTATTTATATCACCAAAGTGCAGTACGATATAAATAAGCATGACGTTTTGTCTGATTACCTAACTATATCGTGTACATGTCGTGTATGTGTCTCATGCATAAAGGTGCAAGCTCGCAACCTGGTAAGCAAGCACCTACAAATGTCATACCTAGCTACTTGTATGAATTATTAGGTTTAAGATTTTTAAATAGGTAAGTACCACTAAAGAACGATGAAAACAAAACATTGTTAGGAAGGAATACCAGATTATAAGGTTGGGGTCGCCAATTCGCCATGAACAAGAGGTGATCAATGGTCTACCTCCTGAATAAATAAGAGGAAGGAGGCCTTGCTCAGCTCAGCAGTGGGCAGTGGGCACTTATATAGGCTAATAAGCTTTTATTTATAATAATCATTCTTTGTAGCTCTGAATTTGGCTTATAACATTTCTTTTATGGTAGGTAAGTATAGGTCGGTAAATGAGCAGACGGTTTACCTGATGTTAAGCAATTAATAAATACCCTCCGCCCTTCCCCGAGGGCGCCCCTAAGACGACCCACTGACCGGCGGCGGGTCTCCACGAGGATTTTCCAACCCGATATCAAAAAAATGGTAAGCAAGCAATCAACGCCACCTAACACCAAAGCAGTTACGAGTGCGTAGCCGGCTTTTGACGGATAAGGGTTTCGGATATTTAAGGATTGGGAAGGGATGGGGGAGAAGGAGAGACTGGGCCTCCGGTAGCCTCACCCACACGGCGATACAGAACGCTATAGTTGTTTCACGCCGGTTCTCAGTGATGCCGTGGTATCACTCCGGTCGAGCCGATCGTTTCGTGCCGAAGCTAGCGTCTCCCACACTTAAACAAGCACTCAGTTAGGTTCACTTATAAAATTCGGCATTGTTTATTTGTAAAGTAAGTCATGTGTGAATGTGGCCGGCCAATCACGTAACGTGCGTTATGTACAAATAAACGCCTGCATTACTGCAATATTCGTCGTATTAGTCTCTCGAACTTGGTAGAAGCTTTAAATATGTATGACAGGATTAACCTATCGGTTTACAATAAATACGATAATTAGCAGTTTCCTTTGCCGGTTCAAATAATTATAATTAATGTATGGCATGTGTAAGAGCTAAGGATGGGCAATGATACATTACCAGTCAATTATGCAATTAACAAACATTTTGAAGCTGCGCACCAAAAGCGGCAAATTTTAATTAATGTTACCTATTCCAATTATGACGTGTATAATCGTGTATAGTCATCATCATCGACCAAGGCCGCTGCCCGGAACTAGGGGAAGCGCGGTATTACGCGGGAACAGCGCGGCGGAGGCGTCGCGGTCATCCTTACTGTTGTATGTTGTGCAGTTGCTCAATGGGAGGAAGCGTTGACGTCGGCGTTGAGGTAACACGCCGTTAGTAATGGAGCGGTCACCGCGCAGCGCGGCCGTGTCTCGGACTGAAGCCAGCATGGGCCAGTACCACACTCTCAGGTAGGACCTTGCTGCACGCGCCATTGGCTCGCGATAGTTGCGTTTGTGATGTGTTGCGTATTGCGTGTGGATGCGCCCCGAGGTAGGTGCCTCCCGTTTGCTGCATGTAAGTAGTCTACGTGACGTCTTGTGCAACCAGGGATGATCCATCACCAACTATTGGAACTACATATGGTATCTTTAGGGTGAAATACCCAATGTGTTTATTACTTTTACTGACCAGTGCATTTTATGTTACCCCATAGAAAAGGTTGCCATTTAGGGTCAATTTTCTAATAATGTCTTAATAAAAATCCTCTGACAATAACTACCAAAGAAAAAAATAATTAGCAGAATCAATACCTACTTACTTATGAATTATTAGCCATTTACCTTTAACGTTTCTGAGCATCTTTGATTTGAGTTTCTTATTTTTCATCTTTATCCGACTGTTGTATGTAAGTACCTAATTTGGATTAAGGATTGATTCTCATTCATTTCGTCTTTTCGTTCATCAAACCCTAAGCGGTCGCGCACCTATTTTTCTTCTCTCGTGTTTCGGATTACTACCATTGAAAGGTTAGGTAGGTAATACAAGCTATGAACCTAACCCACAACAACCTCCCCCTAGGATCAAGGGTGTCATGATTTGATCTTGAATTGTTCTAACTCCTAATCAATAAACTGTGATTCTGTATTAAGTCACATATCTTACCTACAAAACTATTTCAGCTCACGTTCCCTATGCGTAGTTTCAGAGTTGGTTGAAGGCGCATGTGGATTGTAGTTTACGATTGTTGACTGAACTTTTAATACTTAGGTACGATATTTCACTCAACACGTTATCAGATATCTGTCATTGTGTTACTAATTTTTCGTGTTTTTTGATGAAGGTTAGTAGCCGCGGTTCTACTGTCCAATGGTTCCTTATTATCTTTTGGCCATGACCGTAGTACCAACACAATCACCGGTTTAAGCGAGTCTCCGAAAATTAAGTGGATGGGGTGGTCCCACTTAAATTAACCTTGCATTTTCTTTAATTAATATAAGATTTTCTGAAAGGCTCAGTTTATACATTACTAGCTATTCCTGCGCGGTTTCACTCGCTGCTCGACTCCATTTGATTGAAGCGTGATGTTTTATAGCCTATAGCACTCGAGAACATTGTAGCTATCTATTAGTGAAAGAATTTTGGGAATCCGACCAGCGATTCCAAAGATGACCCCCTACATACAAACTTACAAATTTTACCTCTTTATAATATTAGTATAGATATAGATGTTCTGGATACCTGAATAGTGCACGCAATATATCGATTTTTATTCATTTCGCCTGCGTTCTTGGCTAATACAAAAACTGAACGTCTAAGTCAATAGTGTCAACTAATTTTCAAATATTCCCGATTTGCTACGGAAAGAAATATTGGACTGGGCATTTGATAAAAAGCATCCTACAATCTTTGGGTACTCTGTCAATGTTTAATAGAACAGTTTTCTTATCCAATCTGTACATATGGCTAGATGAATAAGGATCCAACGATGTTACATTATTGAAAAAGATGAGAAAGTAGATATTTCGGTTCAAATGTGAGTAATGTAATGACCATTTAGTATTGAAGAAGCGTTACATTTTGCAGGTTGCGCAGGAGAACAAAATTGTCTTTGTTCCCCACTCAGTTGACATTAGACAGTCATTGTTTTAAATGCAGGGACAATGATAGGCACATAGTTACGTTTGTTTCAATTTTCGTGTGATGTAATAACATCTATTGATATTTGTATGTCCGACGCGTCGTCATTGTAAACAAAACTCTGATTGTTGTCTTTAACACGATTTTCTATCATCACAATTAATAAATGAAGGTAAGGAATTATAGTCACTGCAGCTTTCTCATCACCTCCGCTCAATTAACTTGAGGTCTTGGTAACCAGATGACGCGAAATGATAGTATTTTCCAAAGAGAGATTGCTTGTTGTTCTCCTCTACCAGTCCAAGTACCGAGCGTCCAATTTTTGTCGAAATCTGCAGTCACATAATCCGGTTGTTGGTCGAACTGTAACCACGTGCTAGAGCCGACCATGCAGTGATGAAGCCAGCTATTTGTTTATACTGTGACTGTGACCGACACATTAACTGTAATTTTGTCTTGAAACATCGGTTCTGTTGCAAGGTGCAGTTGACTGCTTAACTAATTACAGCTGTGTTGTCACTTACGATGGTAAGTGAATGGTCTGCTATTACCCATGGACCCATGGCCGTTATAGGAATGCTAATTGCTAATTGTTCGCACCTTGTCAAATTATACTTACCCAGTTAATTAAGCGGATTTAAGTAAAAAAGCCTATCTATCATTGGTCCATGAACATGTTTAAGTAGTTTATTGTTGTCGGTAGGTACCAAGTTGCCTAATTATCTGAGTAGAAGAAATACATAACATCTGCTATGTGTTAAATAAAACATTCCTAGGAGGAACTCATCAATTTGTAACATGCTATTAAAACATTAAAATTGATTCACGGAACTGCTTATTATCGAACAGATTGTAGGAAGAAACGTTTAACGATTAGCGTTAGAAAATTCTTTATGACCCTTTAATGGGCAAAAATCCCTGTAGGTTCGTGATTGGCTGAAATACATAGGCAGGCCAGTTTGTTGGTACTATGTGGTTCATTGACCCACTTTGTAGGATCTCACTGACATCCTAAATTGTCGAAAGTTGAATTCAAGGGTGCACAGCACACTATTAATGTTTTCCTTTGAGACTGTGTTGTGAGCATTTGATCGTAGTTGTTTTCGCTAATACAAAATATTAATTTATAGTTTTGTATGTAATGTATAGATTTTGGCAGCAGATCTTATTAAGTAAAAGAGTATTTTCCATATGGGCTTATCATTGATTATATTATCAATTGCGGAAGGAAGGTACCGAATAGATTATTTCCTCGTATCATGAAAATATTAAAACTTTGTTTGGATTTCATGGCGAGTTGTTGCAGGACGTGTTCTGTTACAATGTCACGCGTTACATATTCATAGCTTCCAAATATTTATTCATAATTATGTGCATTATCGATCCAATATTTCCTTAGCTAGAATTATAAAGATTGGTGACAATGTTAATCTGAATTTGTTCGGGTTTGCTTTAACTTTCAACTGTAACTTTGTCAGCATTAGGATTTTTTTATTTGCTCTAAGTAGGTACCTTAATTTGGATTGCCGTAAAATTTTCTAGATGTCGTCCTTATTCAATACGTACTTTGCGACGGTGTGAGGAGAGAGTAAGTGCCAGACTCTTACTGACTAAATAACCCATTCGTTTCTTCTCCTGCTCTAGGCCGAGGCGGCGGTGCCTCATTGCGCTTAACCCGCAACCTTAACTAAACATCAGCCCTATAGGGCCCCGTCTGTGGTGGTCTATTGTCTCTTTCAGGCGCTTGTGGAACTCTACGCGCCGTACGCTCGGGTCTGGTCCTGTTCGGGCGTCGAGCGTCTGAGAACGGCGAGTAAGGGTAACTCGCCGTTCTCAGACCCGTGCTTACGGTAGCCGGAGATCATCTCTCGATCTCCGACGCACGGAATGTCGCCTTCTGCGGTGGCTAGGGCGCGGGCGTGAGGAGGAAGACAGCTCTCTTACGCACTCCGTCTCCATCTTTGCGAGCATTATTGTTTCACAAAAAGAGGAGACGGCTTCCCAGTTCTTCTCGCTACGCACCATGGCCTCGACTAAAGCCAGGCGCGAGATGTCGCCGCCGCCGGACACAGCGGTGCACACAGCACACAACTTCCTGAGGACACAGCGGTGCTCAGTCCAAGCAGGGCACACCGCCACCGTATGCTCCACCGTGTCCTCTAGACATAACGGTTGCGAAGGCCAATAACTTTGCGAATTATCATCGTTGCACTGAGACAGAAATGTTTAACCGTAAAAACTACCCAATTTCTTATTCCTAACAAATTTTATTTTTTACTGTGATCTCAAAATTATTTTGGTAAACAGCGTGTCCAGTGTAAGATCAAGTTGCAAAAAAAATCTCAAATAACAATAAAATCTACAATCATAATGACTAGTCGAGTGAAGCAGAATGCATTTATCGAAGTTTGCAAAATGCTAAGAAATTGGACCGATATGGTAATCCGAGGTATTTACGCATGGCCGATGTTTAGGGACGTAATAATTATATTTACATAGACCAGCCAGTGGGCAGTGGCTAGTCGCGGCGTGCACGACATTCGTGCCTGTCAATCCTCAAATTGCAGTTTCAGGGCAACGAAAAGGAAAAGGATGTTCTTACAAAAACTCGTACAACTAACTACTTGTACCTAAATATATGTAGTTACATTAATCACTGTCCAATTGAAAGGCGTTACAAATAACTGCAATTTATTGTTCCTATAAAAATATAATTCTATGTATAATTTGCCATGTTGTGGCAACTTCTGACAACTAACGGCTAAATTAGAAACGTTGGATACTTTCCAAGAAGAAATCAATTACATTATTGTATTGGGGTACAGTCAGTTGATACCATTATAGTTCTTCTAAGTCGCTTTGATTGCAGCCATTATTCAAAGTAAACATAACGAGATTGCCATCCATCACTAGTTTTTTAAAATCAGAAAAACAAATATTGAACAAAATGACTTCTTGAATGACGTATGCGGATTGCACACGCAAACATGCATCGTTTGTATTTGTAAGTAGTTATTACATCAGTTGTTAGTTAATTGGCAACCAGTTCGGTGCCGTAGCGCATCGATACTTTTATTATTGATGGTCTAAACCTCAGCCAGGACCTACTCAGATCCATCAAATGCAATAATAATGTCATGTCGCTACAACATTTAAATGTCTCGTACCGATCATGGCGTCATAATTTTATGAATATACCTAACTATATTGGGACTGCATCAAGATCATATCCACATGAATGATGATGAAAATCAATGTCGAAGCATATATTTTAACTTTAAGTAATTAAAAAAAAGGCTACGCTAAAAGGCTCTTTGCAGCAATGTGCTCGTTTCAAAGGGTACATTGTAGCGTAGCGTAGCGTAAGATATGGAATATAAGAAGAAACTCCATCGTTACTCCCTAAAAAAAGTTTTTAGAATCTGTCTTTATAAATAACACCTCATAAACTAGAACAAAGACCTAACAATGACCCAGTACAAGCGTCTATGAATAAAGATAATTTGGAACTGAGAAGAGTAGATGGTGTACTTAGCGTTAACAAGTATTTAAAATCAACCTTCAATACACATATCAAAGAATAAATTGTGCAGACAGTAACAAAATCATAACATGCCCGAAATACAATGATTCATAAGTGTGCATATTATCTAAACATATGATAGCACTTATATAATAACAGTGGCAGCGGACATTATGGGACTATGTTTGAAAACACGGCCATTGTCCTGCACGACGCGCTACTGTCGCGACGTCTGCGCATTGCTTTAGACACGCGAGCGCCTACATCAGTAACTTCTAGACATGTTGTCCGGGTATACAGACCACACGTACATAAAGTCATGATATTCCTAAAATGTACTACCTTTATTGAGTAAAAGCCTTTGCTCTTTTATGGAATAGGACTGCAAACGAGCAGCATGCGTTGCATTACCTGGTGGTAAGCAATTGGAAGCCCGCATGGATATCCGCATCATGGACGCTACACCTGTGGAGTTACGAGAACGTTGCCACTTTTTGAGGATTAGGGCTTTAGAGATAAAGGAATTGGGAATGGAATGCGGGAGGGGAAGGAGTGGGTCTCTGGTAACCTCACCTACAGAGCGAAACACAACGCTGTGGTTGTGTCACGCCGGTTTTCTCTTAGGCCATGATATCAGTACGGTCCAACCAACCTATTCTTGCCAAAGGATAGTTTTCCCCCAGTTAAACTAATTAAGAGATTAACTTAATAAGAGAAATGTTAAAACCACTTAACAGATTAATAGATTTATAAAAATCATATTTAAATTAAATTATTTATTTCCAGGTCATTCGTGGTTACCTTGGCAATCACGATAGTAATAACCAAGTCACCAGTCAGTGGTTTCACCATACCTCGACAGCAAAATATTTTGGTTTCCCCATCAGATCTAGAAACCGGAGAAAGCTCGCAATTAGAAGTAAGGTATGATTTAAAGATATCAAATAATAGTAACACCAATGGTCACAACAAGACTAATGAACTAGATTCGAGTGTAATAGCAATCAATGATCCAAAGAATAGAGATAAGAAAGTTGAGGCAATACATACTGTTAATAAAACTACCGATATCCAAACAAGACTACCAGAACATAATAAATCCGAGGACCGATCCGACCCACCAAATACAACTTCGGTAGAAGAAGGTAGTCAATTTATTACTACTTCTGCACCAAGCACGAGTCAGACCACGACAAGAGAACCTGGAATTAGTCAAGTGATAACTAGTAATGTAACAGCACAAACTTCGCTTGCTACTGATTCTCAAAATACATCTAAAGAGAGTTCGGATTCCATTGCTAATGGTAGTAAAGCGCAAAGTGAAAACGACACTAAATCTATAATTAATCGAAATAATTCCGAATCCATGCAAACTTTAACTGATATCTACGTCACCAACAATATCACTTCCATTGAAAAAGAAGATGCGATTAATAAAAATGAAACATTCAACAACAGTAATACTATCAAAAAGGAAAACGATACTATGATCAACCGTGGAACCCACATATTTATTCTAAACGATACGGAACTGAAATCTGTTGCCGAACGTAAAGATCCACGCTCTATATTTGATTTACAAAATCTGGAAGTTAAAAATCAAAGCAATGCTAATGAACAATCTGATCAAGCATATACCAAAGTAGAAAGTTCAATAACAACAACTGATACAGCCGTTGACACTTCTACGTTTTCTGATTTAAGGACTGACGTTACAAAAGAGGGTAACAGAACAGAAACGACCACAGATGCTGGTTATTTAACATCTAAAAAACTTACCTCCGATTTTACACTATCGTTGCCACCTTGGAAAAAGTATACTACGATTGATAGAAAACGTACAAGTACCGAAGATACTACATCACCAACTAAAGAAATGGCGGTAGCTGAAACTGCTCAAATAAGTTTAGATGAAGTTCTCAGTAACACACTCATACCGTCACTAGAAAAATTGAAAAATGAACTTTTAAACTCTCAAGAATCAACAACAAGGAGACTGGAAGCATCTAGTGCAATAGAGACAACAAAAATAAATACTTCACAAAATTATGAAACAACTACACCAAACATGATTGTTACAACGGAAACAGAAAATACGAAGATAGAACTAGTGTCAAAAAGAGCAGGTTATAAGGATAATCGAGAGACAACGTCGAAAGCACCAGCTGAAGCCATCACTTCTGAGCTCCCCTCAAGAGTAAGCAAAAACGACACTGAAATATTTAGTTCTATGTTCGAGTCAGAATCCAGTGAAGTCGAGGGGTCAGCCAACAAGAATGTCACTGTGTATGAGTCGCAAAGTCAATTGGTAAGTCGATAGAAATTACTGTACTTATGTTACTTGTCGTTGTCGTTTAACTTCTGATAATACAAATTATTTTTCAATATTTTCAGGCCGAAGACGCGATCAAAGAAGAATTACTAAAAGAAGAAATGCTTAACGACAATGAAGAGAATGCTATGCGGTACGTCTTGCCTAGAACGAAGGAAAAGGACAATGAAGGGCTTGTGACTGTACCTGAAACTTACACTGAAGATATGCTAAGCGTTAAACCTATTGGGCTCGAAAAAAAGAAAAGTACAATTTTATATACTGTTAACCCCAATTACAAACCACTTAAGAAAATTGACGTACAACCGCCAAAGCCATTCGTTCGCGATCCCGATGACAACAGCTGGAGAAACGAAAGTATCAGCTCGCTAGGAATCGTGTTTAAACCAAAGAATGCATCCAAGTCTTTTACACAAGTCTTAAAGAATAAAACTGAAATAGAGTTAGCGAACATGACTGACAGAGATAACAAAGGTGATGTCCCAGATTTAAGAGTTAGGCTAGAAAAGATAGCAGAAGTAAGAAAATCAAAGAAGAAGATTAACAAGTTTGGAGATACAGTGTACAGCGACTATGAGGAATCAGGGGAAAATGTAAACGTGTCCTCTAAAATAGCAACAACAACAACAACAACAACAACAACACCACCAACCAGCTCCTTTGATGACTCTCTTCTAAATTTCACACCTCCTCCTATTTCCAAAACACTTACAACAGAATTTGATCTATCTGTTAATGCGATATCGACGGAAGGTTTTAACCTTTTCAAAGATGACGTCATGAAGTCTCCGCTAACAACGAATAAACCAAAGTTCTATAACTTGGCAGAGTACTACGACACTACAGACGAGTATGATGCTGATTATGTAAATCAGCACAAAATAGATTTAAAGAAATTTACTAAACCACTAACTTCAAAACAAAGTCCGGTGACTCCCCCTACGCAGGTATTTTATACTAAGCCTATGAGAGAATACCAACCTGAAAGAAAAGCTACGCTACAGTACTTCCCACCAACGCCAAAAAATACTCAAAAAGTAAACTTAAACGATTATGATGCTGAATTTAACAGAAAAGTAAACTTGTATACAATGAAAGCGTCTCTTAAACATTCTCCCCCTACTTCTATTGGCACATCTGCCCCTGTTGTAAGTGATAAGTACAGTACACCGGTGAACAGAGTAACAACAATGAAGCCTACCTATACACCAACACCAATGTTCCAAACTGACAACTTTGACAAGAACCTATACTTAACTACCCCGCCACACGTCCCACAGTCTTCCCATGGATATGTGCCAAACGACGGAAATTTCAACAGAGCTTCATACGTCATTAAACATTATCGAGACTTTATCAACGAAGCGGCTAAAGAAAGTGAAGACGAAAGAGGCGAGTACCAGTACACAGAGACTCCACTTCGCGGTGTTACCATCCACGAGCTCGCGAAAATGTCCCCCAAGGATACCAATGCGGGTGATGATGATTACGACTACGATCTGAAATTCCGTAAGGATATTATAAACCGGTTTGTGGATAACTTCAATCAGAACAGTGAGAAATTCAAGGTCGACTTTCCGATATTATACAACAGTAGTATTGTACACAGGCAAGCACCAGAGAATGGGAGAGTAGCTTCTTCAACTGCGTTCATAAAGAGGTTGTACGAAGTAAGCGCTCCCAGGGCCACGAACCTCTTGTCACAGAGAAAGCCGTGCGACCCAAACTGCGACCCCAACTGGACGGTGGAGTTGTCCCCCGCCTATGAGCTCCACTACTACGTACCGGATCAAGAAGAGAAGGAAGAAATGGAACAGAAACCTGCCACATTACCATATCCGTATAGATTATGAAGTACGCACAACGCGCCTGTTAGGAATCAATACAGTTACTTGATGTACTGCGAGAGTGGTGACACTTTTAATGTCATTTATTATATTGGTGCTTATCGTGACTTACGATAGTCGAATAATGAGCACAGCGTACTATTAACACATATTTATATAGCAAGTTCAGTAACTTACTTAAGTGAATACTTAGGTGGTCAGTGTACTGTGTAACTGTGACTAAATTAAGACATTATTCACGAAATTTAATAAAGGTAAGCAGGTACTTAACCCACTATTCTGACCTATCCGGTAGATTGAAAGCCAGGTTCACAGGTAAAGCCTGAAATAGATTCAACAGGTTAATATTGATCTACTGAAATGGCTATAATTCAACTTTCGCCTTCCAATTAACTACGCAGCTTCTTCGAAACGACAACCTGTTATTTCTTTGTTTAGATGTATTATTATGACAAATTGCCAAAGACGTAATTTTTAGAATTTTATAATACACTTAAATCTGTATAGAGGTAAGAAATTAGGTAACTCTCCTGTGAACTTTTACCAAAAATCTTATTTCTATATGAACATTTATAGATGTATTTAGATGAGGTTGTTAAAGGGTGTAAAATAGTTGATCAATGAAGGTCCGTATTACATAGTAAGCTGTTGTGTAAATATTTACAGTCGTAGATGTAACTGTAGCTGCCGTAGCTATGTAAACACTACATCTTGTGGGATAATGTTACTTTCTATATCGTGAGTCGAACGATTGATCGATAACAGACATCTCATTCACCGGCTCGTGTTCACGGACTTATTGTTTCATAAAACATAAGAATGGAGTCACTACCACAGTTATAAAACAACAACTTGTAATAACGTGCTATTCGTAAACTCGAATGCTTTTTATAAAACTTTGAAGGAAGCGTTATGAGTTTGTGACTTTGTGATAATAAAATAAAATTTATGTAGAATTTGTGGTTTTCATTTTTCCTCAAAATATGCCTTTTTACTTGTGCAGTTTTTATTAGGGATCAAGGGTGAGTCTCCTGCCTAACTAGAAACCGGCGAAAAAGAATGATTAGGTGGTATAATTGTAATTATAAGGAGGCAGATGTACGGTGGCACGGAGGTTAAGGAGCCAGTTTCTCATACATCAGAGTGCGGGTTCGAAACCTGGCAAGTACCAATGTAACTTTCAGAGTTACACACCACTGACATTCGATGAAGGAAAACATCGTGAGGAAACCTTAACTTATAGTTAAAAATTCGCCTTGAGCAAGCGGCCTTTGCTCAGCATTAGCTACTTATGGGCTGATGTGATGCATATTCCGCCTTAAAGTCTGTTTAGGCAGCCCACAAAATTCCCTTCGTGTCTGGCCACAAATCACGTATAGTGTAATAAATATCCTTCTTCAGTATTATCTTTTGCTTTAGGCATTTTAGGTTCTTTAGCCAGGCTTCCCTCTTTTTACGTTTGGTAACCCTATGTGAACAACAAAATAGGTAAGTAGATGAACTATGTGCGAAGTGTGGGAGAGCCATGCTTCGGCACGAATGGGTCGGCTCGACCGGAGTGATACCACGGCCTCACAGAAAACCGGCGTGAAACAACCACAGCGTTGTGTTTCGCCGTGTGAGTGAGGTTACCGGAGGCCCAATCCTTCCCCTCCCCCAATCCCTCCTCAATGCCTAAATGGAGATTTAGGGATTGAGGAATCCCTAATCCCTAAAAGGTCGGCAACGCACTCGTAACTCCTTCGTTGCGGGTGTCCATGGGCGGCGCTGATTGCTTACCATCGGGTAATCCGTCTGCTCTTTGCCGACCTATTACATAAAAAAAAAGGTGTTAAGTAGGATTGTGCTGCATCTTCTTGATACCCATCATCACTTATTGTCATTCTAATCCACTATTAGATGTTTATCAAGAAAATATGGTACAAAAGTTGTTTAGTAATAGTTATACAAAATAGAACATGACGTAGGTATTTTGCTCTAATAGGTACGGGTTGCAATGCAATGTTTTCAGCTGAAGTCTGTAGATAGATAACCCTTTTGGGTAAGGCGATAGATAACCCTTTTGGGTAAGGCGATAGATAACCAGTTAAATCTAAAAAAAGTAGCGCCAATCTTGAATCATGCATTTTTAAGGACAGGTGAGTAATCAGGCGTTTATGAACCAACAGATATTTGAGACATTTTTCAAATTACGCCACTTCAAAAATTGGCTGCCTGACATGGCAACATCAATCTTTACAGAAGTGTTGTGCTGGGCTGATCGAGTAGAAGGGAGATACCTACAATATGCAGCACTAACCAACTGAGCCGATCGCTTGAGCTGATCATGCCTCTCTCTCGTTCGTGCCGCGCTCTCGCTTGCGGAACGCGACAATGAGCGTAACGGGACATAGGCGTAACTTCTATAGTATTTAGGTATTAGACTATGAACAGTTAAAAGTTCCTAAGAATTAATAATAGGTCTACAGGATTCTGACCCTTACATGCCAAACAAAGCAAGGAAGTCACTTTTTCTGAGCTATAAAAAAATTTATGTACTGATTTAGGTCTGTACCAAGTGATTTATAAACGGAAAGGAAAAAAAGGAAGGCAAATTGAAACAAAAAAATCCTTTTTAAAATACACTTTATTGACGTTCTTTATTGTAGAATAGTATGCAAACATCACTCGATCGTTCGATCATATTTTGTTATGGATTCTTTACAAGTCACTTTGAGCATAATCATAGTAGGTATCATTACAATAATAATATGTAGGTACTATAGCTAAATCATAGTTCGGTTACTTGCACATGATAACTGTAGTCGAAAACGTAAAATCGAGTGGGAAATGCAATTCTGGATCCAATAAATAATTATGTTACAATCTCATAAAACGCAAATTAAAATATTTTTCATAGATGAACACATTTTTCTCTTTGGATAAACAAAAGAAAAATCAGAACACTATTCGGGTAATTATATACAACAATATATTGTTAATCAAACTAAACAATGTGTTCACTTGTCGTAAATACAACGTAAAACAAATGACAAATTAATCCGAGTCAAACTAAAATAGTATAAATTAAGGTACCATTCGACTCGCGGGCGCCATCTATCGGTCACAATGCAAACATTGTACATCTATAATGTCCGAGGGCTTTATCAACTACGTCTTTAGATTTATATCGCTAAAGTTAAGTGATCCAGCCTCTTCGACAAATTGTTTCGAGTTAATCCGGGAGCCTTAGTTAAATTAGCACCAGTTAAAGATATTTCGAAAATATTACATTGGTTATGTGCTGAATTGCGGTAACAGCGCCTTCAAAGTGAAATGGTACATTTAGGAACATAAATAACGTAAGGAGAGTTTTGTTAGTTATTGAAAAAGCAGTAGGTAACGTTGTGATGGGCTTCGTGTAAATGTTAGTACAGCTGCTTGGCCGGGCCGGTCTTGTTTGGTACAATTTCAATTATGACATTTACATGCATTAAATCGTATCACTTTATAATATTAATTCCATCTGAATACAGAATATATTGTTACAAAATGTAGAATTGTTCTATGAACACAAAACCGTACAACCAAAGCAGCCAACCGGTATAAACATCCCAAAATAAAAATGCGAGATAGATAAATAGAAGCAATTGAGTAATGTAGCGGCGTTTGTATGCATGGGTAGATAAGTAGATCGTACGTAAATCAATTACAGTTACAACAATAATCATTTATAATTATAGTTTTAGACTAAAAGCGAATATTTACAAAGAACACGCCATTTTACTAGCTATTATACCTGCCTCCCAACGTGGCTCGCGCGCGGCCTCCGACTCACCGACTTGTTCAATTTAATAATTTCCTAATATTTTATAATTTAATTACATTTCCTAATATATATATTTAAGTAAGCGTACATATTTTTGGTAACGAATACGAAATTCCCGCACCTTAAATAAATAATAATCTTAGAATTAGAGATACGCTTGGTGTAAGAGGCCGAGTATTGAGACGGACGGTAGCGCCGGGGCCGCGCGCGCCGCGTCCCTCCAACGACCCTAACGTTACATTAGCCAGTCTTTCGGTTACACTACTCTACGTGTCGCCACTAACTACTCCCTCGCGTCCCCTCCCGTACCCTCCCGTCCCCTCCACTCCCGGACTCTACTACTGCTCAGATCTATATACACACGAGGTGATACTTTACAAAAATATTCTCTGCCGGAGTACTATACTGGTCGTGAGCTACACCAAGTACGTGGCACACAGGCACCTCCTTCACCGAACACCGGACGGTACGCTGCACGGAACTGACGGGGGATGTTCGCATCGTACTAGAATACTGAGCTGGGAAAAAAGGAAGATGGTGAAAGGTAGACTGGTAATGTCATAGTTTAGTAGATAGTTATATTGATAAAGCAAGAAACATGGAATTGGATCAAAGATGTATCGACGCGAACATTTATATCAACTAAGTCTATTCGCTGCACGTACCGATATATTTGATTGGGAATGGAGGCGTTTGTATTGTCCATGGCAAGCTGATATTTGTGAATACTTATGTATTGGACTGGAAGGTTTAGTAACTAAGGTTTAATAAACTGTCGTTTGAAATTAAAACGAATCGTTGGCACCTAGTATATTTGGCACCACTAGCGACAAAAAAACGTGAAACTAGGCGACCCTTTGTCTGTAACCTACGAATTATTATTATTTTTACTTACAATACATGCTGATTAGGTTTTGGAATTAGCTTATAAAAGGTAGCTAAAGGAAAACAAAAAAATCGTAAGTTACTATCATTCAAAGGGCCATAAGCTTAATTTTGTTTCAATAAATAATGTGTCAGCACCAAACTGTCGGAACGTAACGAACTAGGAACCGGTGCCGCCGCGATACTACGTGCGACAATATACACGATAATACCACAAACATATCTACACAACTTGCAACACAAACACATTAAAATAATAATAATAAAACAATGTTCAATAAATTCAAATTAACTTGGAATTTTTGAAGTTACAAAAGTAATTTATACTTGGTATATAGTTGTGTAATTATGTTTGTCGAGACAATACAATATAGCGAATTTTACACAATGCTGTACATACATACTAGCACCACTATAGCTTTACGTATAATAACCGAAACATCACCAAAATGTTTGTGTGTAAATGCAAATTATTATATTTCAACAATGGCTCTTGTATTGACGTCTAAGAAGATCAATCAATATGGATAATTTAAATTTAATTTAATGTTGTAATTGTGTAAATTTATTTCGTACAAATCTAATGGTAGTTTTAGTTTCCTTAACATCAATACAAAATCCAAGAAATTATCAAATTACATTAAAACATCACAAGTTTGGACAATTGACTTTAACCACGCATACAGTGTGTGTGACGCCTGTACCGTGGGCTTGTGGAGAACTGTTTGTGGTCTCAACAAGTAACATCATCAATATAAAACAGACAATGTACCACGCTGACTGCCATCGGGTACAGGCGTCCTCAACAAAACAATCCTACTATAAGCGTGTCATACAAAACCTTAACAAATTACTTGACTGTTCAACAAACGAAGTCCAGTGACACCTATCGGTAGTAAAAAGTAATAATAATCGACGCGAGTACAGTACAAATTTCATCCTTATCTTCATAGTGAGTATGTTCAATTTTCCGTATACTTATTATTTATAACCACATCCATAAAGCTCTAAGAGGAAGCCTCACTATACATATAATTAAAAGTAAACGTTTAATTTAAATATTTTTCTTTTAAATATCATTTATAACATATACACATTCATACAAAATTCTACATCACTAAAGCATACTCGATGTTCCAACTAAATTATGAACCGTTCCGAACCTTCGATAATTTTACAATTTTTACATACAACTTATAATTTTTACATTTCCTTTAAGAAAGCGCATCGATTTATTTATTATGAACGATTCGGCTGATCGGATTTAGATTCACACTCGACTAGTAAGTTTTTGGGAGGTCAAATGCAATAGTAAAGGGTACCTCAACTGGTACATTATCCACAGAGTGCTTCGGACTATATCGACAAGTGTCCCCCGCACTATGTACACAAAGTACCGTAAAACTGCGCTACAATTAAGACTACAAAATACCTCCGCTTCAATTTCGTTTGTTTCTGGAACTGTCGTTACGTAAACTTGTGACCGACGTGGAAGATTTAAGAACACTTGTTTATGCGAGGATTCCCGACCTATTATAGGAAGCTACAATAGAAAAGTAGTCTATGTTACTGACATTAAAAACTGTAGGAATTACGTTACGTTTGCACATCTTAGGATCTAAATATTAAAAATAATATTGAACAATCGGAACTGACGATCCTCGCTTAAACAAGCTTTAAGTGTGAGCCGTTGACATTCCGCGGAATACATTCAATCGGTACCATATGATACTTACGTAAAAATACATGATACGGCAATACAAAATCTCATCATAAGACCCATCATTACTACGTATAAATATGCGTTAACTCTAATCTAGAGACTACTGCGGCCGCGGGCTTGGCCCTGACGCCCCGCGACGCCGACGCTCAGTTCAAGTCCGGTTCCGCAACTAGTTGACTAAAAACCTTGTTTAAATATGGATAAAAGCTAAGTGCTCCGGAAGTATGGGACATACGTACGGCGTCGGCCGCCGCACTAGCTGGCCAACTGCGCGCGCGCAGACGAACCGAAGCTGCCTCGCAGCGACTCCTCCATCAGGCGGCAGATCTTGTCGCGGTCCGCCTGCAACGTATACATGTACTATAGTATTACTGTTACTCCCCGCCGGCTGCAATAGACCGTAGTAGACCGCAGTAGACCGCAGTAGACCACAGTAGACCTTGCATACCTCGTGTATGAAGCCGAGCTGCACTAGTTCGTGCGCGAGCGCGGAGGCTGTGTCGCGGCGGGACACGGCGCACGTCAGCTGGCGGTTCATCTTGTCGTCCATGCGCAGGAGGATCGTCATCTGGAAGGAAAGTACGCAAACAAATTACTGCATCACAGACGTTTACACGTCACCTAAATGAATTATGATTGTGTTGCCGGCTTTTTGAGGATAAGAGATTTAAGGGTTGGGAAGGGATGGGGGATGGAGAGATGCAAGCAGTGGGGGTGATTGGAGTTTAGGTAATTTTACTCAAACGGCCAATCGCTTAACGTCTTGTGCATTATAGTTGTCGAATTACGCATTATAATGTATTTTCTATAAATACTGACATTGAAATGGTTATATCAGAGAAAATGCAAGGAACGTGTATACATGTGAGTAAGTAGTAGAGTCCCCTCACCAGCAGGTCGGCGGGCGGCGCGTCGCAGTGCGGCGCCGGGTGCGGCTTGAGGCTGCACATCATGTTGACGACGCGCCGCGACTCCACGTCGCGCGGCTCCGGCGACGCCGCCGGCGGCTCCGCCAGACGCTCGGCGGGGGACGCCGCGCGACCCGCGCGCCGCCGCCCGTACGCCGTCAGAGGGTAGATGCCGTACCTGCACCACGCATTGTCAGTCGCGCCCCGAGCCCCCCCTACACGGGCGGCGCGGGGCGCGACTGCCTGCAGTACTCACTTGACGTCCTCGACGAACTTCTCAAGTTTCTCAGCGTGTGGCTGCAGGTCGCGCGCGGCGAGCTCGACGCGCTCCCCCCCCCGCACGCACCACGCCAGCGCCTCCCCACTACTGCCGCCCGCCACCTCGTCCGTGATCGTCTCCGATATGTTCGCTGGCGACATTTACATTAACATTCTATAAATAGTGCTAAAATTAAGTCAAATCAAAACTAACTATAGTATATTCAATATATTAAAAACAATACCTAATACAAAAATCAATGACGATAATTATAACCACACAAAAATGCTTTTACTCGATCACAAAATACCTAAAATAAATTCGTTGTAACATAATATTGTATAACAACACATATCAATAAATATAAATAAATAAATGAATAAAATAATATAATTAAATTTAATGAAATTGCATTTTTAACTATAATGTATTAATTTAAGCAACTTATAAGTTACTACATATTATTACGTTACCGTGCCCTAAACGTGGTATATTGGAACTTATATTATTGTAACAACAAACATGTACACATGAATACAATAAGGTATTTAAGTTTTTGAATATCTAAATACAATCAATAAAATCACAAAATGGAGGGTATTTGAAAAGAATGAATAATGTAGTCACCCGTGGTATTGACGAGAGTGTGCGCAGCCAATAGTTTGAGCGAGTGCACCTCGAAGAGTAGCGGATGGAAGAGCAGCTCGCGCGCCGTGGGCCGCTTGGCCGGGTCCTTGTTTATACACCTGCACACACACCGCGCGCCGTTACACGACCTCGCACGCACACACCGACGGATGCAGTGCTCACACCCGCACCAGAGGTCAACTAGTCCCTCTTACAACGATTAAGACAGTGTTTGTAGGGTTACGTTGATTTGAAACCTTGAGTACTCACCACTCCTCCAAAGCAACGTATCGCTACAGGCACTACGGGACATTCTGTATAAGGCTGACGCTCCGGCGACACGTGAGCAGCCCATCCCTCTGTCCGTGCACCCATACAATGAAAGCGACTTACCGCTCCGGCAACCTGTAAGACCAGTACCTGTATATAAAGTCCTTCTGGCGCGGCTCCTCCAAGGACTCGACCGTCCGTACGATGTGTTCCTCCGTGACGTGGCTGCCAGAGTCGCCATTGCCCTGAATCTCAAGTGCCGCAGTCTCCAATGCGCACATTCCGAATGAGTAGATATCCATCGCAGGCGTCACCATTTGTGATGCTGATACGGGGGAAATAAAGATGTCATGAATGCAAAAAAATGGACAACATAGTTTCGATTACTTGGACCCGCGGACACGAACACAGTACATGATACACATTTACTCGACATTGGACACAACGTGTGTGCACGAAATAAGAACTTTTGTATGGTTTTCGTTGGGAAAGCAATGAGCTCACTTACAAAGTCATCGTTTCCACTGAAAACCTCGTGCACAAATGTTATATACTGTTCTCCGCGTTTACAGAAAGTCAAGTTCCTATGTACCATGTAATGTAGTTCGTAGCCTTCGCCTGTTCCAAAATTCATGTTCTAGAATGTAAACTAGGAAAAGGCAGTCCGAGAAATCGAAAGAGTCGAAACTGTGTGGTCCTTTTTTAAGAATCATCTGCTAACTAATGTTACTTACATCCGTATTCCGGTGCAATAAAGTGCATATTTCTCATGTTCTCGCGGCAGGTCTTGACGTGATGATGGATGGCGTCGGGAGCGACCGAGCCGATCTTCACCAGTCCATTGTGTTGGATGAAAATTGTGTCGCACGTGAGGTTCCCGTGAACGATGGGAGGCACGCAGCCGTGTAGATAACTGAAAGGGGGATATTTCCACGTCACCGAAAAGTCTGGGTGTACTAGATTACAGTTCGAATTTGAATGACATCTTTAAAGTTTTGTTCAGTAAAGGGATTCCTTAATTCGCATAATTTGCAATAATTTGTGGCGTTGTTACCTGAGTGCAGACAGTATCTGCGTGCACCATCTCTTCCAGGCTTGCAGGGGCAGCCGCTTCACGTTCCGCTTGGTGCGCTTCAAGAACTGCTTCAAGGAGCCGCAGGACATGTACTCCGTTATAAATATTACCTGGAACATGCAAATTTTAAATGTAATGCAGATTGTAGTAAGCGAAGCCAGTAACAATAGTAAACACATTGCAAGTAATATGCTGTTGAGGACAGTCGGTCAAATCATACATTTAACTAGCTAGAACATAATATTGAACTAAAAAATCTAGACCAGGTTAATTAACAAACAGATTTTGAGCAGGAGTAAGAAATATTTTTAAGAATTACACGTATTTCTACTGGTTCGTGAGCACACGAAAGAGCGGTCATCTTACCCTAGGTTTGTCGTTGTGTGTGTCCGTCCAGTATCGATGGAACTTGACGATATTGGGATGTTCTAGCCTGGTAAGGTTGTCGAACACCATCTGTATTTTGTCCTCCTGCGCCTTGAAGTTCTTGCGCTCGGAGAACTGAACCTCATTCCACACAACTTCGACACCCTCCTCCGTGTCCATCGCGAGGTTAGCGCAATCGATGCCGGGGACATCGCGTTGTTCCACCTGGAAATTAATAAATAGAATAAAATTAATGTTTGTTTCTAAAGAAATTAAACCGAAACTTTAACAACGTAACTATAAATACAATTAAAAACACGTTGCCTAATTAGGATTTTCTCGTATCGTGAAAAAATAATGGGTTTTATAATTTGTGTAATTTGATTTTTGAACAGTTTGAAGCTACCCAAAATAAATTCATCAGACCAGACAATTTTCTCTAGCGAGTAGAATAATTCGCCAACATCTGATACTGTAATAGAGGTAAATTGTCGAGCAAACATATTCGGACTTCCTGCAGCCATGGAATAGACGAGCAATCATTCAATTGAACCTCTTGACAGCAGATTGGGCCAGCGAGGACGTGAAGAATTCTAATGAAATTTATTAACAAATGCCTGTAAAATACTGGAAAGTTTTTTACTATTCATATTGGAAATATCCATTTTGACAATTACCAAGTGACGTTTGTGGAAATATACTCTACTGATTATTTTAATATCTACTTTGGACGGGATAAATATTTTACACGTGAACAGACTGCTTGTTTGTTTCGAATTACACATGTGTTTAATTCCAATTGAATGATGAATCAATCTCACACCGTTCAATCAACGAACACAACAGCTTGCAGTGTGCACTGTGTAGGTGCATTTAACAAATGAGTGCGATTAATCGCGCAGTCGACGTCGCGTCCGTCGCCGCGTCTATCGATATATGTGCAATTAACTCGTTATCGGTCAGTCACCCCAGTGCTGCAATTGTATACAAGTCGCTATCTCGCTGTTATGAATAGGCTATGTTTATTAATTATGACAAGTGTGCTATTTGCGTGATCACTAACACTAAACTATTGTTCCTGTACAATTATAGCTTCCTATAATAAACCTGTAGTCTGAATTGGTCACGGATATTTAGATAAATATAACTTGCAATACGGGCTTATTACCAGCATTTATTAAGTAACTTGCCAGTGGTATCTTGCAACAAAATTTTGATAATAATAATATCTTGAACTAAAGACTTTTAGTTTGCATGAACTGCTTAGCTGTATCACTTTACTTTAAATCTATACGAAATTTTTGTAAAGCGCCTTGTCCCAGGTCTCATTGTCCCTGACGCACTTCAAAAAAGTATGTTTTTATTGTTACTGTATATGTTGTATGCTTTAATCGGATTTTACTAAGAGAGGAATATGTTGTATGGTTTAATCGGAAACAAGGGTTTACAAGAAAGAGGTGCATCATAATTTATGAAATGTAAGTAGCACTCGTATTTCCTGGTGGCGTTGACATTTCATGTCATTTAAATAATAGGTTACATTAAATTTTTTCTCTATAGGGTATAGTTTCTGATTTCTTAGTGTAAATATTATAACTAGGCGATAATAGCATTTACCTTACCTAACTAATGGGCAGTCACAGGTAGATTCAAAGTACTTCACAGCCGATATTTATATTAAAGGTCTCTAAATAACCCACGAAGTGTTCAAAACAAGTTATGTTAAAGAAGTTATTAAAATACCGACAGAGCAAATTGTTGATCATACTATTAACATAATGTTATAAACAAACATCAGACCTACTTGACACACCAATTGACTGGTACTATAGACTAATAAGTACTCGTTAGGTAGACACAGTCTATTTGTATAACAGACACTATAGGTACTATATTATAAATACAATCATCTCAAATTGAACTAATAGGGAAAAAGACGTAGTTACATTATTAAATCACAAAAAACGGCTCATTAAAAACAAATAAACAATAACAACATAAAGAAACAGTCCGCATCGCATAAATTGTCTTCTGAATATTTCTTTTTTATAGTACAGATCGGCAAACGAGTAGACGGATTACCTGATGGTAAGCATTCGGCGCCGACCATGGACATTTGCAACACCAAAGGAGTTACGAATGCGTTGCCAGCCTTTTGGGAATAAGGATTTCGGATATTTAAGGATTGGGAATGACACAGTGAAACACAAGGCTATGGTTGTTTCACGCCGGTTTTCTGTAAGGACGTAGTATCACTCCGGTCGAGCCGGAAGCGTGGCTCTCCCACACTTGAACGTGTGTGATGAAGTACTTAGTACTTGTGTTTAGATACACACCCATCATCGCAGCTCGACTGCGCAGTACGATGACGTCGAATCATGGTTAATATAGTTTATACTGCGCACGAGGAACATTTAACAACTCATCTCTTGAATAATAAGAGCCATTACTTATATTTGCGTTCATTATATTTGGTATGTACTATTTTAATTGAGCTGCTAGTATGCACGAGCCACCTGTTGTCATTAAAAGTGCAATAAAGTTTTGTAAATTATTTTATATCGTTTTAAATCTATCTGTGACGCCGTGATCTGCAAGCAACGATGAACAATGTGAACAGGTGTCAGCCACATTTTATGAATTAAACGAAGCATTCATTTCGGAAATAATAAATATTTTGCATTTTTTTTTTCAGCAACTTTATTTCATTTTCTGCTTCATTTTGTAATTAAAATTGCAATAAGTTTTGCAGTATTCCATAATTATTATCTAGAGATTTAAGTAGAAATATACCTATGTGGGTTCGAGTTAATTCAGGTGTCTTCAAGGTTAGAGTAAATAAGCTCTTAATAAACCAGTGCGCCTTATCATCAATGATTAATGATAAGCGTTCAAAAGCTAATTGGAATAAATGATTTTTGACTTTTTGCATCACTGCTTACCATCAGGTGGGATCGCAGTCAAGCACTAGCTTATATCAAGTAAAAAAAAGGGTTATTTGAATAATTAGGTATAATAGTTTATTTTTTATAACTTCGTTGGTATTCAAAGAAATATAATGTAACTGCGCTAATTTTAAAGGAATACTTAAGTATACTACGATCCAATTTTATTATTAAATGCGTAGTATGTATAATGATAACGTTCCATTTAGTTCATCTAGAAGATTAATGTTTTTTTTGTTACTATCAGTCATAACTTATTCATAACCAACATCGAGTGTTTTTTTTTAATATATTTGTAGACCTTTACAAATGCAGAATATGAGGAAAGCTTGTTCGATTCCGTATCACTTTATCCGCATAAGCTTATCACATGCACTGAAGGTTAGTAAAACATAAACTTTCGCATTTATTAACGAAGATAATCTAGTACTCGTTAGTTAGGCGGGCAATACACCGCCGACAATTCAGCCGTACGGAGCGCGCCATAAATCGTGCGAAGAAAGCCGCTCGAAACCACTCGTTACTGGCGAGGCACCGAGTGGGCGAGCGAGTCCGCTGCAATCATTTAAGTTGCAGATTTTATACGGATACGTACATTTTAGTGTCTGTTCGTAATCGCGAGGTGTGGCCGCTGCCTTCCAACTTTATTGTTACGACGATATTTTAAATTGATATTATTGTATCTCCTGCGGTGGGAAGGATTCGCGGTATTGCCTCCTGCAAGCCACTACGACCGGTGCTTAGGTACCATGGTTTAGCGTTTCATAGTAGTTATAAAATATGATAGTTATTGCATGAGGAGGCCTTGGTGCTTGGCGTATGGACTGTAAAACTGTAACTTGGACAGATTCAGCAGATTTATAAAGATGAGTAATCCTTGTATCTTCATATTGTTATCTTAGATTACGAGCACATAATGAGCGCATTCTTACATGACTGAAATAATTTTCGCATTTTCGCATAAAAGTACGAAACAACGCAAAGAGATTTTTGGGGTTATGATCACATTTTTCCTGGGAGGGATTTCTTGGATCGCTCAAAATATTGAGGGTTCCTATGCCCTTTAAAGGTACGTTATCTACGTATTACAGACTTTCAGAAAACATGTCAGCAATTTCGGTATAAAGGCAGATTGTTTCTACATTACAAACCTGCAACTAATCAGTCGAATAAGGAGAGTTAACAGAAGTAATATTTTAATAACATCGTCGAAAAGAGAGCACAGTGAACAGAGGAAGTATTGATGAGTATGAAACTACAGTAACCGAATGGCTTTGCCCTACTACGGCGATAAGCCAGTACATTACAGCTATGAGTGTATTGGAGGCTAAATGAACAAATAATTGAATACTTATCACTGACTTATTATAGATTAACCTCGGGTTCAGGTGATGTGAACTTGGAGCTATAAATACGATAAAGAAGTACTTTTTTAAATAATCACTTTTAGCAATGACAACAAGTAGAACACAAGGGTTTTATTTGTTCATGGATTTATTAGTTTTAATACATACATAAATTAATGAATGAGTACACATAGTTGTTTGTCTTGGTAAGCCAAAAAAAGTTACCTTTTTTACCTTCTGCCAGCGGCTTCGCAGTACCTACTAGACACAAAGCACAAGGCACAAAGCCTATGCGTCATTCCAGACGATGATCTATCTCTATGTCAAATTTCATTCGGATCTATTCAGTAGTTTTTACTTACGAGTAACGACAATCCACCAAGACTTACAAAGTTTCTCATTTATAATATTAGTAGGATATTGTATTCGTTACACTTATACCATTTACAGAGGAATATTAATATCTAAGTCGGATTACAGATTAAAACCATAAGTGTGTAAATCTTTCCTTAGTACCTAAGTTATCTAGTGTGTTGATGTGGAACTGTAGTGTGGCTTAAGCAGGGCTTGGGTTTCATGAATAGTAATGGAAACAGGCTTTTAATACAGTTTACAGAAACATTTTTTCTGCAATGCTCTGTGATGTTTATGAACGATTCATTGGGGGTGTTGATGGTAATTTATTTATACGTATGTAATAGTAAAGGAAACAGGCTTTTAATACAGTTTACAGAAACATTTTTTCTGCAATGCTCTGTGATGTTTATGAACGATTCATTGGGGGTGTTGATGGTAATTTATTTATACGTATGTAATAGTAAAGGAAACAGGCTTTTAATACAGTTTACAGAAACATTTTTTCTGCAATGCTCTGTGATGTTTATGAACGATTCATTGGGGATGTTGATGGTAATTTATTTATACGTATGTAATA